CCTTTTTGTGCAAACAAATAGGTTCTTGATTCCCACCCAGAGCTCCTTTGCTCCTAGGCTTGGACAAAACTTCATCTCCAACCCCAGTTTTGCATCAAGGATCCTTCAAGAGTGCTCCTCCTACCTCCTTAGTCGACTTGCTGGAACTTCAATCCGAAAATTCTGCAGGGAAAGATGGTGCAGTGGCAAACGGCGGCGCTTTTCTCGCCCATGGTGAGCTGGTCAAATGTCAGATCGACTCTCGTCCGGGCCAACCAGGCCTCCCACCCCACGGAAACCCGTTAGTTGGGTCTCTTACGACCGTTCTGGGAGATCAGAAGCACTGCCTTTTATATCTGCTGGTCCTCGCAAGGCATTTTATACAGCACATCGCATTCGAAGTTCCACTCCGAATTTGAATGAAAGTAGAATTCATGGCGCACCCCAGAGAAGATGATCAATACCAGAAGATTCAGATTCGACGCAGTTCGGTTTGATGGGGGCACCGAGTGGTGCTCAACCTTTGTGGCTACCTTGTGAAGACCTGTAAACTCCTGTAACCAAAGTGGCTCATTTTTTTTCTATTTCGCAGCTTCACAAGAATTTACAGGAACCAAAGTGAGGCCTGTTGTTTAACAAGTAACAAAAGGAACTGGCAAAAATTCAAAATGCCCCCTCCAAGCGGAACGGCGCCGATTAATATTTTTTTATACATTGTCCCAAGACTATATTAAACTCAAACATATCAGATAATTACGAACCCAAAAGGCGGACAAGGCAAAATACTACTGTTAAAAGCTAAAACTACTTTACTCGATAAAAGCTTACCATCACTTGATGTGATCAGGCGTTCTTTCGAATAGTCGATGCTCTCGAATGACACGCCGTTGGCGGAGAGAATACGGTCGTTTACTCTGGAAAAACACCACGGCATGATGAACGTCTTTAACCATCGCACTTCACTTGCACTACTGCATCCATCCGACTTTCTTTACGTTTTCGACATATATTATACGGAAGATTTTTCTCGACTATTACACTACTTTATGACAATTTTTATTGACGTAAAATTTGATGTTCACGACGTGATCACGCCGCGCTTACGGATTTGCAATGAGCGTCAAACGGCGCTCGCCGGCACTTTCCTTCACAAAACCCACAGAACAAATCTCTCTACTTTTTATTCAGTAACGAAAGAACTTTGAAAGGGTTTATGGGGACTTTGAAAAAGTCTGGACAAGGCATGTCCTCTCGACGACCTCTTTACAGACTTTGCTGTCGAGCGGGAGCAGGTAAGGGTAGAAACATCCAACCACCAGAAACAGTTCTGCTGAGCCGCGGACTGGGTTTCCGCATAACGCCAAGGAATATTACCCGGTCGGTACGATCCTCCACCAGAAGGAGGTCACCATACAACCCCAGTGCAGGTCGCCAGGGCGTTTGTTCTTGTTACGCGGTTGCGCAGCATATTGTTTGATTAGAGAGCTAAACGGCCCATTTCTATTCAACTTCCACCCTGAAAAGCGTGTAATTTCATCCACAACCGATCTTTCGCGAAGCGGTAGGCGGCATTGGTGGTCGCTGGGATCTACCCGAAATACAGTCTCGTTCCATGCGGAGCAGGGGCGCTTCAGGAAAGGGACCGGTGTTTGGCTTTGGCGCGGCGCCAACTCAATCGCCACTGATTGTAGTCCCCTGCCAGCTTCGATAGTTGGTGGAGAACGCATCGCGCTAAACCAGCTCCTCAGAGATGCCCCAGCCTCCGCAGCAGACATGACTGTACATTAGAGAAACCATACAGCTTACATGGCAGCTTCAGCTCAAAAATACCGCTGAGAAATTTCTGACGGACGCGGGTTTTTGACCTTTCATTGAAGACAACGTCATTCTGACATAACGTGCTGCGAGTAGCGAATCACACATGAGCCCCATGTCGCGGTGCCGATTGAGGGAGTGAGAGGGGGGAAAGAAAAGGGTGTTGATAGGCGCGTGAAAACGAATAAAAAATCAACAATCATAAAAATCCTCTCCAGGTCAAATGCAATTTCCTCAAGTTCAGCTACCAAATGCGGTAAAACCCTCAGGGGAATTACAACGTACTCTAGCTATGACCCCCATGTCCGTCGAGGGAGGGAAGTGAGGAAGGAGACAAACAAAGATGCAACAGGGAAATTGCCGAGCCGGCGGCGACGGGGAGTGGCTGAAAGGGTAAAAATCAACAATCAAAGCTTCCCAGAACTCCCCAAAGGAGCAATACAACTCCTCGCTAACTCCTCTGAGGTTGAATCCTCTGAGACGCCCAGCTTTCGCAGCGGACAAGACTGTACATTAAAGAAACGACGCTGCCTGCATGGTTCTCCTCGATGCTTCTCCTGTCCTCGAGCTTCTCCTTCCTCCCCCCCCCCCCTCTCCCCTCCCCCTGTGGATTTAATAGCCATGCTGATCAGATATTACATCGACTTCAAATTGCGAGACATATCTTTATGAGGGGGAGGGGCAAAATAAAAATCACTAATACGTTCCTATCTTCACATTCCCCTTCTACATGTAGTGTATATGAATAACAAATGTTGATCGATTTATACGATGCTTCGACTGAATCCGATATTCACAATGATCTTGACGTTACACTAAATTAAAAAAATCAGCTATCGTTATTGCTCCCCAGAAGTTCAGTAATGAGTCAATCACTTCTCAAACGTGCTTTGGACTTTACAAGAGCTTCACATTACATGACTGCACTTTACCATTCAAACACGCGTTAATGTTTACCTAGACAAGCCCAAGCCGGAAGCCATCCCCTAAACTTGAACCCATGCCCTTCAAACTATTTGGACGGACCTGTGTACACCCCATATCCCCAGAACGCGGTAGGCGTGGCTGCATACTTCATTTGAATGACGTAGAATTATTTCACTTTGGAGGCAAGTATCATTTTGGCTTGTGCTGGACGGTACATGCTTACATTCAACCCAAATCGAAAATGTCCCACCAAACGCGCAGTCATCGCCATGTTCAATCCAAGTACGCAGCCAGCCTACTGCACTTGAAGGCAGGGCACATCATTAGTTGCGGATTTTGGTCGAATCCGTGCGACCCCCCCCCCCCTCTTTGAGAGGGTTGGTACGTACCCATCTTCGTCATACCATGTCCCCTTTTTTCTTGATTTTAACAACTTCTACAGGTTTCTCCTGAATTGCCCAAAATTTTTCGGAGTGCGGGTGATATATACTATATGAAACAAGAAAACCCACGACAAAAAATCAACAATCAATCTCAGAAAACCATAAAAGTATACGACCCCCTTCCCAACCATGAACAAACACGACCCCCCCCATAATTACGTCTCTAAAACAAAAAAATCAGACATTCAAAATAATCTATTTTTTCTCAGACCAGATCCCGAATATGACCTCCCCCTCCCGAACGACCAATAAGACCCCCTGTTGGGAAGTCGCCAACAAGGACATAGTGTATATATAGAGCACCTAATGCGAGAAAAATCTGCAATCTAGAGAAAATTCCATCTCGCCAAACTGAATACCTCCTACCCCCGCGATCAACTATAATCCTCCCCTTCCCATTCCCCACCACGATGTGGATTCCGTAACGATTGGGTGCACCGCATTGTAGCCAGAAGAAGCTCCAGAAGACATCACAAAAAATTGTGGACTGGTGCAGAAGTTATCCCAAAAATAAGGTCTAGAGATGTGAAGGGTTTTATTGCGCTCGATTCACCCTATTAAGCTAACCTCGACAATTGCACATGGACCTTCCACTGTTGCCAGAACGCAGGGGGAGTGAAAGGGGGGGGGTGCAGTGAAAAAGATACCGCTCATGTAGCGCACAATAAAAACTTAAGTGGTGAGATAAAGAGATACTCTAGATCTTTACTTATAATGAGACTTCTCGGGAATATTTCATCTTGCGTCTTCTACGCACTCTGCCACCTTGAGCTTTGGTGCATGTCATGCAGAAGTGTCCCCCCCCCTCCCAGTAAAGTTGGACAAAATGCTAGCGTTCTCACCTTGGGTATGTTCCCAAAATTTTGCCCTCGAGCGGACGGGAGGAGAGATAGGCACCTCCAATCAACAATAAGAAGTCGAAGCTTCGTGGCGTCGCCGATCAACGGGGCGCGAAGTATAGCACGCACGACGGAAAAAATCAACAGACAGAAAAAATTCTAGGTCGGAAACGACAATCCTTCCAACAGCGACAAGTACGACCCGCCGTACGACGGGACCTGTACGAAATGTTCCCAGGAAAATGAGAGAAGCTTCGTAGGAAACGGCAAGTGCAGACAAATTATTGATTACTCCAGCTAAATGTCAGACTTCGGCTCATGTTTTTTGCAACTATAGTGATATATTGGATGTTCATCTCCACACGCCAAGAAGCTCGACCAAGCTCAATATTTCTTTTCTCTCCCAGCAATCAGAAAAAAAACTATAAAATTGAAAAATGAAAAAAACATGATTCAAAATTAGGAAATTTGAAAAGCAGAAAAAAATAAAGAAACTTACTGAAGCAGTCCCCAGGCCGGTCCGTTTGGCACGACGTCCGAGATCACAACAGCTGGGTCGCCAGAGGTGAAATGTGGATTATCGCGACCACCCGAGACGGCGATACCAAAGCCTAGGGTGACTGCCTGCAAAAATACAACTCAATACTTAGACGTGCCTATGGATAATTTACAGAAAAAGATTCCTAAAGATCGATTACACTACTTTACAACGAATGATTGCCTACTGCAACAGAGAGCAAATTGTAAGCTGATAAGAAGGGAGCCAACGTGTGAAAGAGAACAGCTCATATCTCCTGGAACGAGGGGGCAGCTCTCAGCTCCCCAGGGACATACTCTCCCTCTTTGATCGAGCAAGGGTCATCAATTGTCTGGGCAACTAACTGCGTCAACTAGTACGACCTGTTCAAGAGCAATCAATCCTACGTCTGGATAGAAAAAGGGTTATGGATTCCGTTTCAAGTAGAAAACGCTCGAATGTTTAGAAATAGCCGTAACACCCTATGACAACGCTGAATCGGGGCCGGTGGCCATGGGCGTCATCATGTCGGAAGAATTCCACATGAGAATCATTCAAACTGATGAATCATCTTACAAATCTATGCCACAAAGGTCATTTACGAGCTTTGACAAAGACAAGAGAAGACCTCCTTTGAATTACAGTAACCTATGGAAACATTTAAATCACCTCGATGTTGTCCTGGGAAGCGCTTAACGGACCATTAAAAAGGTCAGTGACGGGTAGCCTGTGACTCGCGATATTGGCACGCACACGAAACCGCTCTTGCAGCCGCCCAAATATCACAACGTACGAGACAACTGCTCTGCTTCGATGTCAGAGGTCATCAATCAATAACTATCACTTGCGCTTTAACCTCAAAACCCCATAAACAAGTGTTCTGTAGTGCTACTGCTCGGGATTTGACGAAGTCTGTTACGTATTCTTTTGTATGAGCAGCAGGTGTGGGCACAGGCTACACCAACATCACTCGTTGTTGAAACACATGAGAGGCTCATATACCTGGCCGTCTGGGCTAGGCGGGGGCGGGGGGTCGTATGCGTCGCTTGTTGAAGCAGGCGGGAGATTCGTATGTGACTTAGAGAGAAATTTGCCGCCCTAAAGAAAATTTTTCCCGGTTGCTAACTTTTCGTGATTTCCCTGTTTTCTGTATTATACTATCCCCCTCGACGGAAATTTTTTGGCTGAAAGACTGGAAAATATGGGAAATCGGTAGGTAGGTGTCAGCGGAAAGGGAGGGCGGTACGTCAGAGAAACTCTCTTAGCCAGCGGGAGTCGACCGATGACCCTCCGTCGAGGGATATCGTACTGAACACTATTTGAGTCCATTTGAAAAATTAATGTGAATGAACTCGTTAAATATAGGAAGGATCATCGATTAAATAGGATTTTTGCAGCAATCAGTTTTTTTTGATATGCGCCACAAGCTGCGGCTTCCATTCAATAATGTTGCATTTTTGAATCGGTAATTAGCCACGGAGTGCGTGTAGTGACAAATGCACGCTAAACCGCTGCGCCACGCCCGTCCGGGCGTCAAATCCCGGCGCTTCTAGTCGCCTAGGCCAATCTAGCGTTCGACACTCCTGAGACGGTAAATTGGTACAGACTCGTCTGGGAGGATAAGAACACTGATGATTTCATCATTTGTCCTTTATTTAAGCTGCCACGACTCTGCGAGGTCCAGATGGCCGTTACACAAAAACTCCTTTTATGACTATGCTAGCACTTTTGTGTGGGCAGCAGACTTTTCCGCTCAAATAGTAGAACTGTGGACCCCTGAAGACGTGTTTCATCTTACAATCTCGCAGTACACAAAACAACTGAGATCCGGTCCAGTTCAAAAAAAAGCAGCTAAGGGTTGCGAAGGCCTCGGTTAGCCTTTGCTGGGTGTCGGTCCAGATGTCACTCGAATTCATCTCAAAACTCGTGCTGGCTGATAACGCCGACCTTGCTGCCGCCTCACCACTTCCGTCCCGCTTGTCGAGTATGGGTTCGATAGGAAAGGTAAGCCACTGGTGGAAAGCCGAATTTTGGCAGAAGTTTGCCTTCAGAAACTCATTGAGTCAGAATATTTTTGGATTTGCGGAAAAAAACCCTCCAAGAGAAACCCAACTAAAAATTACATTCCCACTAAGTGGCACAAGAGGCTGAAGTGACATTTGGTACCACAACACGAAGAGTTCTGTCAAATCCCAGAAATCTCACCGGAGGGCATTACTGGGTTGGGTTGGGTTGAAGGCGGCCGTACTGGGGAAAGTGAGCTGGGTCATTCTCGATTCGCACCAGGTCTCCCCAACAACGGAGGTGGGGCCAGCAAAGGGAGGGGGGGGGGGGGGGGGTGGAGTGCTCAGCGAACCTTCTACAAACCACTTTGAGATGTTCTTTAGCCAAGGTTGCTTATTTGCACCATTCCGCAGCTTCTCAAGCGTTTACAAGTCTCACTTTGGTGACAGCTGTTAATTAACATGAAATAAGAAAAGGGACTAATGGAAGTGAGAAATGCCCTTCTCTTGCAACACCCCTCCCCCCCCCCAAGCCAAACAGCGCCGAGTACCGGTTAGCTCAATTATCAAAACGTTCAAACTCATATATCGCATGTCTGCTGTTCAATTCTAACCCTTTCCAGTATGCATCGAACTTTTTCAGAGGGGGAAAAAGAGGAATAACAAAATGGTCACCCATTTTGTCCCGGAAACCCTGAAATTTATTGGGAGAGAATGACATTCTCTTCGACCACTAGCATCTGGCGGCAATATGCACATAAAAAAAGTTAGTGAGCGAACGCAACATTTGCAACAAAGAATTCCAATCCGTGGGCAGAGTTCCTCGAAAAAAAGCAGGAATAAGGGGGTTGCCTTTGTTTGAGGTGAGTGGCAATCTTGTTATAGAAAGCGAAGAAAGGAAGAGGGGAACGGAGAAGGCGGCCACGTGACAGGAGTAGATGACCGCGACCGGATCTTGAAAAAGGGACGAATGGGGAGGGGCATTTCGTTGCGCGATGAGATCAAAACGATCATGAATAGATAATTTCTTTGTAACCAAGATTGCTCACTGACCTGTTGGTAAACTAATAACGAACGGATCTATCAAAAACGCGGAATTTCGTCCCACGCCCTCCCCGCATAACAGCGCATGCTTCACTATTACATCGCATAATGCATACTTCGAAAGGGCGAAGGTAAGAAGTCGTTTTGACAGCAGTGTGGCTCCCCCCCCCTCTCCCCCACGGCGCTAGAACAATACGGTCCGTCGGGATATGTTCTGACGTTAGGGAGAATTTCCGAAAGACAGCTATAAGAAATAGTTCAGCCTCAGCGTCGCCTCTCCCTTTACCTAACAGCTTACAGAACTGCAAATAGATGCAACAACTTTCAAAGAGCCACAAGGGTTCTAAAGCGAAGAGACGCTATCATCACACGAGTGGAGAGAATACCTGTCTTACACAAACGGAGTGACCCCGCCACCAACCCCACCTTTCGCGGTACATCAGCTCACTGCTTTGCCATAAGGGCAGGCGTTGAGGCGGGGGCTTCGGTCTCCGCGTTCGATCGCGACAAATGCATCGAAAAGCATGCGCATTGATCGCGTCGAATGCGCGACCGAAGCTCTGTCGTCGCGAAGTCTGAACGCTGTCTAACCAAGACACGAAATTATGTGAGGATAATACTTCCCAGATACGGCCAGCGAGTGAGAGGAAACGAAAAAGAAAAAGGGAATATTGTACATCAGGAACAGGGAAACCGAAAAGAAGGCAGCAATTAGACGGGCCTGCCATTGCCTTTAAAGGGCAGTTGGCACGATAAATCCTCCAAGACGAGCAGGACTAATACGCCTGGCAGGACGGAATTCCGCGACCCTGAGCAGGCGCTGCATAATGCCTTTTCCAGGGAGGTGCCCTTATAAGGGCCCTATCAAGCCACAACATCTGAACGCCAAACGCCCGCCAACGCCACCCGCCACAAATGGACGACCATTTCTGACGCTCAAATCGATTTATTTGCTAAGCAAATTATGAAGCGAAGGAATTGGTATGAAACGTCCGTGATGCTGCATGGACATATGAGTACACATATGCAGCCGTATCTTCGGTAGCGGTGATTGGCAAGATGCCTACAGAAAACTCGTCCAAAATTGATTTAACACATTGAGAACGGAAGGCTCTTTCTTCGCAGGATTTCGACCGTTTCACTCCGTTCTTTCGCCATTTCCCCACTTTATAGCACCCTACTAGCATTTTAGGCCGAGCACCAAATCATCGTGCCAACTGCCTTTAAAACCTAGACCTGGAGACTACCATAGTACCATAAATGCATTCCTCAGTCTCCTTAATGAGGCAGAGAAGCCCATGGTAAGTCGAGGAGAATTTCCTCAGTACGACACCTCACCTTTGTCTTCCTCCCCATACTACCCTCAGTATCCCTCGTTGGACAAGGTCATGTTGATGCAGTGTCAGTCAGTCGGGACGATGCCAGGAGGGATGGAATGAGCCCACCCGCGGAATTTTCTGAGACTCATTATTTTGTTTTGAATAAACCAGTACTGCTAGAAAATGCAGCTGGGAGGCGCTCATTCAAACCCACTGACACCGCCCCAACTGATTCCTACGGCATCAACTACGCTCCATATCCCGGAGATTAGCATAGCTGCGTGCTTCATTTGAACATGGCGTTAAATGCCTTTTCCGCGGGATATTTTCATGTGAGGCAACTATTATACTAATTTGCGATGGACAGCGACATGAATATAAGCTTTTCCCCAGGCCAAATACATCCCTTATCGTCCTTATACAACAATATCTCCTCAAGCGAGCAGCCTTTCCCACGTTCGAAAGAATTACGCGGTCACGCCCACCACATTTCGCGGATATGGATCTCAGCTATCTACCAAAAAAACCAACAATCAAGAATTTACCGCTATTCTAAACACAACACCTTCCCCAGCAACTGAACACTCCCGATCGTCTTCACAGTCACCGTATACTTCACAAAATGCACCGAAGTTAAAGGCAGTTGGCACGATAAATCCCCCAAGACGACTAGGATCAATACTCCTGGCAGGATAGAATTCCGCGACCCTGGGCAGGCGCTGCATAGCGGTTTCCCCGAGGAAGGTGCCCTTATAAGGGCCCTATCAAGCCACAACTTTACGTCCCAAACGCCCGCCACGCCCGCCCGCCCACAAATGGACGACCGTTCCTGACGCTCGTATTCATTCATTTGCTAAGCAAATTATGAAGCGAAGGGATTGGTATGAAGCGTGATGCTGCATGCATACATGGGTACACATATGCAGCCGTATCTTCGGTAGCGGTGATTGGTAAGATGCCTACGGGAAACTCGTCCGAAATCGATTTTCAAGTCACTGAGAACGGAGGCTTTTTTCTTCGCAGGATTTTGACCGTTTCACTCCGTTCTTTCGCCATTTCCCCACTATACAGCGCCCTACTAGCATTTTAGGCTAAGTAGGAAACCATCGTGCCAACTGCCTTTAAGTAAATGGCTCAACCCAAGTGAGCGACTAAAGCGAACCCCATGACCCTTATGATCTACTTTACTGGAGTAATCCTAAAAACGAGCGATTGAATTTCATATTGCAAGGAAAATCGACAATTATCCGAAACGAATATTCGAGCAAACGAGAAGTGGAGGGCTGCCCAAGAGGAGAGCTACTGACCTCAGCTGCAGTGTATGTCGTAAAAACGAAATCGCAACAACAGACTTTAGCCGCTACACCGGCACCACCACTTCCACCGAAATGATTAATCATTACAAGCGCTTTGAAGAAAAACTCTAGCCGCACAACTTCGAGAAAACCTTCCTCAACCATCGAAAGCGGTCGTCGAGGGGAAAAAGTTCCCAACTTCAAAGATACCCAAAGGAACTGG